TATAAATCATTACAGACACCGACCCATTTAAATATAATGCCTTCTGCAACTGCATAATCCTCTTTGGCGGATCCATTAACCCTAGTGGTTGAAAAGTTCATACATGCATTTCCTGATGGTCAGGCAATTGGATTCTAAGGCAAAGGGATTAAAAATGGATGGATAATCGCTCGAACATATGAATGTAGAAATAAGAATTATAAATCAAGTTATGAATAAATTAAGATAGAAAGGTAGGCAGGCATGCAGGCTGAAGTTAAGTAGGCATGTAAGTAGATAAATAAACAGGTAGATGATTAGAGAGAGACAGAGGCGGATAAAAAATAAGAATCAATGGGATAGATAAATAGATGTGTATAATTAGGTAGATGGGAAGAGGAAAAATAATACAAGTAGGTAGTTAGCTAAGATATATGAAAGAACTTAAGCATTTCTATAGTCAATCAGACCAGTTTCAGAGTATGGCGCAAAATATAGTAAAATTGTAAAACAGATTGCCAGTGAACCACAGGGACGAAGGCAGACATGGCAGAGCAATCATAAAAGCCATCAGAAGCAGAAAAATAGGGAAGAAGGGAAATTCTGAGAGGAGAGCCATGGCTATCAGAGAGATAGAGAGTGAGTTAAAGCTTGTCGGTTTAGTGCCTGGAGTTTGGTTCATTCAGGCATCATTATACCACATCAAACAGGCATACAAACGCACATGTTCTAGCAATTATGCAAGCACTTATTCTTACATAAGCACGTGCAAAAATTGGCACAAATAATCTCGGACAAAAACGTATCACTGCCAAAGTAATCACAAATATGAGCTGACGCAAGGCTGCGAGGCTTAAAAGAATCTTGCCATCCTTCCTTATACTGATTTTATTCCTCTTCTTTTAGAGTTTCTTGTCTTTTGTCCTTTAGCATGTTTGTACTTCATTATATCTCCACATTTTCTCTCAAAGAGTTGGATTCGCCTTTTTAGAAGCCGCTCTGGCTGCTCGAAGCATCCTTTTGGCTGCTGAGGCTGTAGATGGAACAGTGGCTCCTCCTCCGCCAGAAGAAAGGGAGGAGAAGGAGACAGAACCGGGGATAGCCGAAGGATTTGCAGGAGCGGTTAGCACAGTAAAAAAGAAGAAGGCCAAACTGGCGTTGAGTAGAAGCACGAAGACAATTATCATGTTGTCTCTGAACCAGTCCTAGAGGGGGCAATTAAATAGCAAAGGAAAATTAAGCGATCAACTTGGCAGATAGAGAGGTTATTAATATAGATACCAGTGAGTAATTTCATAGAATTTCAGCGAATTCGTGTCATGTTAAAGTAAAAAAACAAAAAGGATCTTAAATCGATTGAGTGCTATTGCCGCTTGATTGCTTACATATATTATGCTTATATTATCAGGGTTAAATCAGCTCAGAACCTGAAACAGTAGGAAACGTAAAAACATAGCCTTTTTGTCTATTAACGCAATTATATGGGTACGTAGTAAAAATCTTATGAACTAATAATTTTTGTGAAGAGACCGAACCCCGTACTCCTTGAAATATCACAAGTCCGAAAAAATAAGAGTTAAAAGGATATATGTGAAAGCATTTTTATTTGCGATAACTTACTCTAAAGGTAGATTCTATCACTTTATAGAGATCCAAGAATGCTGTAGTCTTGCTTATCGTTAAGAAAGATTGTGTGAGCTTCCAGCAAAAACACATTTATTCTAGTTCATATACTTGTAAAGCGTTAAAGC